ATAGATAGATAGATAGATAGATAGATAAATATAGATAGATATATATATATCACTAATTATAAAGGCCATCTTCACTATTCTGTTGTCTACAGAGAAGATTCTGGAGTGGGCCCTGGAATACAAAGACTACAAGGACAAACTGATAGATCAGGCTGCCCTGATGCTTACAGTATCAGGCAGGGTCACAGAAACACAGCAGATCCTTGCTACTCAGTTCAGTTTCCGACTCAGAACACCAGACCTCATCATTAAAGTAAGCCACGTAGTTAATCAGGTGATTATTACAGGAATGAAGATTAAGATATAAATCTATATCTAAAGTTGTTTTCTTTCCATTTTTTGTCAAATAGCCACTGGGGAAGGCTGTGGTAGGAGAGAAGATGTCAGTAGAGATTTCATTTACTAATCCACTGCCACAAGTGCTGAAAGCAGTGGTATTCCATGTGGAAGGACTTGGCCTTCTGACTGCTCGAATGATAAATTATGGGTAAGGAGGAATAATATACTTTATACTGTGTTTTTTTTAAATACCTTGTCTAGCTATCTCTTTTGTGATTGCTACTGTCATTTCCTGTCCTACCCTCAGAGATATTGGCAGCCACGCTTCTGTGTCTCTCACTGAGCGGTTCATCCCCACCCTTTCTGGAACGAGAAAATTACTAGTTTCACTGGACTGTAAGCAGCTCACACAGGTTCATGGTGTGAGTGACATCACTGTGGAGGAGAAAAGCAACGCCCCTCTATAGTGATAATAGAGCCACTTTGAGGCTGAATGCTGACAGTTATTTCCTTTATATAGGCACTGATTGTGTCTTTTTTCCTGCTTTTTGCCTTCTATATGATAAGCCAGTATTTTTTTTCACAAAGCACAGTACTGATTTATTTTTGCAGTAGAATATTGAAATTACTTATAACCACGCGTAACCATAAAATATTTGATAACATGGTGGCGTTTATGGGCTGTTACAGAGAATCGACTGTTTCTACAATAAGAAAACCAGTATTAAACTGCATAAAAATTTCTTTACATCTTAATGCTCAAACTCTTGCAACATACTTCTACAATACATTGAACAAGGCAGCATACATAAAACCTCTTTGGAACATGTTTGCTCTTGCAAAGGTGTCCATGTGGAACCAGAAAGTTTTTATCATGACTTTTTATGAAATCTTATGTAAGCATTGTAAATGTCATCATTATGCTCTGACAGCCGATCAAGCACTATAGCTAGCACTGACATGTATTGATGTATTGAACTAAAGTGACAATTACTCACATTTCCTCATCTTGTATGCTTCTAGACTTGCAAAAAAAAAAAGAAGCATTGAACATTATTCTAAACCAACCAGTGCAATAGAGACATAATCGACACACCACATAAGCACCTCACGTTTTCTTGGAATATGCAAAAAGTATGCATATGAAAGTATGTGGTTACTATGATTAGGAAACAGTCTGGGGACCCACAGTAGATGCTGAGGTTGGACCATCTGCTGGCTTTAATGGAAGAGATGTGCTTATGTAAAGACTGGCTTCATATTTATGTCTTTGATTCTATTTTTATATATATTTATTTTTGTTTATTATGTGATGCCAAAAGAATCATTTAAATATCAAATCACTACTTAAATGCTATTATATTAATAAAATGCCACTTATTAAAATGATGTCTTATTCTGTGATTTATTGATTTTTAATGTCAGTGTGTGTCCATTGTTATGCAGCTGCTGTCAAAAGTTCTCTGTGTCTCTGCTAAGAATTTTTTTTTTTCAATGTTGCCAGTTGCCAGTGTTAAACTATTTAGCATGTGCTTGAATGTTTTTTGTTGGTGGCAAATAGGCTGGCTGGAGTATTTTTAAAAATCTACTGGGTTTTCCCCATACAACAGTCTCTAGAGTTTACAGAAAATTATACAAAAAAGAAAATATCCAGTGAGTATCCGTTCTCTAGACGAAAATTCTTGATGATGAATGTAGAGAAGAGCGTTCAGGCAGCTTCAAGCCAATGGTAACTCAAATAACTACTTGTTATAATTAAAAGTATGCCAAAGACCATCGGAATGCAAAGAATGCACTCAAACACTGAGTGCTGACTCCCCACAAGGGTGTGTATTGAGTCCACTGCTCTACAGCCTTGGTAAATGGCCTAGTACTTATATAGCTCTTTTTCATTCTAACTGAGCACTCAAACACTCGCACCCATTCATACAAGCTCTTCTCTATACATAAGCACCTTGTCTAACACAGCGTTGGCTTCTCTTTTTGCAAATTGCCTCTTCAACCCTGGCAAAAATCCATTTACACAACATAGCAGTTGCACTTATAGAGCGCTATAAAGGTGAGGATATGCATTGCATCGTCTCTGCCAATAAACTGGATTATGTGCCCTTGGAAGAAATGCATCGGTGGGGTATTTGTTTTTGTCCTTTACAGTGGCATCAGCAGCTGCAGTGTGGGTGGGTTTCACTGTCACTGTCAAAAAAATTCCCACAAACTATCTGTTGAATTGCTTGCTGTGGCTGCTGCTGCTGTTCCTGCTGACTTTTAAACTTTCTGGGAGTTTGTTCTACACACTGTCAATCAAACCTAGAAACAGACTGTGAAATGCAACATAAAGAAACTGAAACAACATAACTGTGTATTTGCTTTAACGCTGTCAATTGCTTTGATATTAACTACAACAAAATGCTAGCACAGACCCAGAATAGCCAGTGAAGCTATGTTGACTCAGTAATGGCACATCACAGGAAATAAGTACATACAGCTACAGCTGTGGTGTGTAAAATTAACATGTGGTGAACATAAAAGCGTTGGAAAACGTCACCCGCTTTGTCGCTCTTCCTCTGAGCTCTTCACTCTTTCCGAAGGTTTCAGTGAGGTTTTCTTTTCACATAGAAATTTCTAAATCAACAAATAACACGGAAGGACAGAGTCTGTTGGATTTATGAAACTGTTTCATCAATGTCTTTCTCTATTAAATGATCTTAGCTTTCTGAGGAAGTGTAGATGCTGCTGTCCCTGCTTTCACCGACCTTCAGTATTTCCATCAATTTCCAATGTAGCAGTTTTCAAATCACTATGGTTAGTTACAGACCATCTGTTTATATATCAAACTATCCAAACAAACTGGTAAAAGCAAACTGAATCTCTCCACAGCCAAACCACTTGTAGGTGTTCACATAGCCTACAGCCACTCCAGTTTTATTTGTTTACTGGAGTGTGCTGTTTGCAGTGGTGTGAAAACATATCAAGTACAGTGTTTGGCTCCAGTCCTGTCTTTTTCCCAAGGTTACCTCCTGTACACAAACTACTTCCTTCACAAAAGGCTACTTTCATCTTGCTTTCCCAGTAGTTTTCTCTCCACAGGTGTAACAACTCTGAGTTAGGTCCCAGTGCAGATTTTTTTATTGGGCCCTTACCACCATATTGTACTGGAGCAATCGAGCTTCTCTTATTCTCTCCCTTTCTCTCTCTGTAACACACACACACACACACACACACACACACACACACACACACACACACACACACAGTAGGTGCAAAAGCAATATATAGCATATAGCAATTCTCAATGTTAACTATAGCATCATTCTAGATCTGATCAGCACCATGGACAGCAACTAGAGTCAGCAGTTGGGGGAATGGACATATTTGTCTAAGATTATCCTAAAAGCTCACACCATCTTCTTCAAGTAGACTACCACAAGCCTGTGATCAAAGACTGGAAGCAGTGGTGTGTTTGATAAGAAGCTAAGATAAATCAACTGGAACTAGTTCTCTGCATATAAGTACAAGAATTTTAAAACAAACCCTGAAATCTGCTGGGAGCCAATGTAAAGAATATAAAATAGAAGTAATGTGAGTCCACTTACTAGAAAGTGTTAATAGTCTGTCAGTTTGTATAGTGGGGAGGTGTGAATGAGATTATTTGTTTGAGCTGGTAACGGGCATTGCAGTAATCTAGGCACGATGATACAAATGCATGAATAGTTTTCTCCAGTTCCACTGAGGAGACTATTGCTCACAATTTGCAAATGTTACTTAACTGTAAGAAACAGGAATGAGAAATAGATTTTACATGTAAGCCAAAGCCCAGAGAGGAATCAAATATTGCACATGTGACATTGCAGATGAGCAAAAGGAAGCAATCACTTGACTGATGTTTGGATGTAATTCAGGAGGAGCTATAATCACAGTCTCAGTCTTCTTGGAATTTAAAACAAGATCATTATTAGACTGCAAGTAACCAGTCTGGATTAAGCAATCAACAAGGATGGACCTTCTGCTAGCGAAGCTTAAAAGAGATTTAGGACTGAATGTCATCAGCATAAAGTTGGTAAAATGTCCCTAAAAGATTGAATGATTCCAGCAAAAGGAAAAGCATAGAAAGAAAAGAAAAAGAAGTGCAAAGCAGGTCTGGGTGGTTGCTAGTGCTTATGGAAAGCACAAAAAATAAACCACATGCTGTCATAGAACTGGACAAGTCTTTTAGATGCATAGTGCAGGAATGAGTGAGCTTTTACAGCTGAACACACCAGGCCCAGGCGTAGCTCATGCAGCTATACATGCTCTGATCAGCACCTGCAGGACAAAGCACAGCACAACAAAAGAAAACATACACTTAGTACCCACATTGCCCAGGGGTTTTTACAAATGGGACTTCGACTGCATATATTATATTGACTGATTATATATCCACAAAAGCAAAAAATGCACTTTGTTCACTGTAGTTATTTGCAAGGTCACCAAGCCCAGGTGATCCGTAACATTAGGGGTAGCTTTGTTGCATTTGGGAGGCCAGTAAGCTGTGCCTAAAAGCCAGCATGCATGTCAGCAGGACCCTACTGAAACAAAGGAACAAAAACAAAAGCAACATGTTAATATATTAAGATCAGCTCAACACTGAACAGCTGTGACCAAATATACAAATGTGTATTTTTTTTTTTTTGCTGGACCATTCTACTCATGTTTATTAGATCCAACATGACCCTTTCTTTTATTTTACTAAGTACATGTTAATAATTAATAAGTGCATAGAAAAAGTGTTTAAGGAGTGTCTGTCATGATCTATTGTCTGAAAAAAAGAAAAGAAAAATGTGAGCATGTGCAAGCAGTGCTAATCCACCACTTTGTGAATGATTACTCACTAATAGTATGGTTAACCAGTGTTTTAGTTCTGATGACCATGCAGCATGTGGGCAACACCTGGGAAAAAAACCTTCAAAGGTAAAAGCAAATGTCCTACATGTCACTGAACTAAAAGCACTCAGAGCATAAATGCATTCAATAAGGCTACAGAGTTCTCTAAATCTATCTTTACATGTTTTGAATATACATAAAGGTTGACTAACCCATGCCCACTGTGCTAAGCCATTAAAATCTCTTAATGTAGTGCCAGACAAGTAGAGAACCCATGCATTCAAGGACACGCAAGAGTAATGGTATTCTATGCAACATTAGTAATGTACACAATAATGTGGGAAACAGACTGCTGAACCAAACCACACAAAGACAATTTAATTTGTCTCAATTTTTTTTTATAGAAAAGATGAACAATAAAGAAAAAGAATAAAACAAATGTGAATATATCCAAAGACGCATTGTAATGGCTATTTGTAAAAAAATACTTGCTAATCAAAAGGGTCAAGTCAAACTAATAAAATTGCTTTTACATACATAAATAAACTTGTTTACCTTATACACTAGTGCAGGGGTCGGCAACCTGCGGCTCCGGAGCAATCACTGACCCTATGCAGCCCACTGATTGCACGGAATTATTTCACATTCAGTGACAAGTAGTTGCAGCAACCAACTAGTGGCTCAGAAGTGGAGCATGCAACAT